ATATATATATTAGGTATATATATATATATATATATATATATAATATATATATATATANANACTATATATATATATATATTATATATATATAATATATATATATATATATGTGTGTATATATATATATATATATATATATATATGCATATAAATATAATGTAATATACCACGTACAGGACATGTTGGCACACATTGAACTCGCATTTATATACATGATCATATCCATAGCGTACACACGTACCCGTACAGACTCTTTATGCTACAATACACGCGCGTCGCACTCGCATACACATTTCATTCCTACCGTGTTTGATGACAAAGTCAGTTGCCCGGGCCACCTGTTTGGTATATGGCAGATAGCGAGCTGTCTGTAGCGTGAAGTAAGCGCCACGCATAGCCTTGTTGCGGGGCGTGTCTTCAGCTGTGGTAAGAAGCCGTACGGGCGTGAGAACATAATAGGCACATATATACGTTTGTCGGGAAGAGACAATATACGTGTAAAGACAGTTGTGTTCTGATATGCAATTGTTGAAAATAAAGAAAATACGCAATATGCACCAGAAGATAGCATGAACCGATACACAACTGCTATACTCTTGGGACGCGTCCTTGGAGGTAGGTACTATGACACGATTCTTATTGGTGGCTATAAATAGATTTGCACTTTCATAGTGTATGCTGTGGTGGCTGGAGATATATAGAGCCCAGTCCCCGGCTACAGATAGTACCCCTGATAGGAATCATCTGTACAGGGGAATACTCTCTACATGCAATAAGTTAGCTATTCTGTGGTGTGTGGGGTAAAGTAGGCGCCATGCACAGCCATGATCCGAGGCGTGTCTTCCGTTGAGGAAGCCAGCACTCCCCTGTACTTCAGGAGAGAAGGAAGTACACCTCTGACTACATGCTCGTGGCCACGCGAAGACAGGCTAAAACCCTAGAACCCTAGAACCGTAAAACCGAACGAACACGTGCGACTCTCATTCTCCCACCCGAGACCATCTATGTGGGTCAACCTCGGAAAGCCCCATACGTGAGAGATTGGCTATGCTTAGCAGAGATGCAATGGTCTACACGCATATGTATGCAACAGCTATGTGCATGTATACATGAGAGTATTCTTACTAACAACTATGTGAGAACCCAAATCCTAGAATTATTAAACCCTAAACCCAAAACACTGGATATACTACCTACCCTTGTCTTCGAACGGCTCCAGAGAGCCCTGTAGGTATGACTCGACACGTGCTATTCTCCAGTTGATACGCTGTCTATAAATAGAACAAAGTGAGCGGTGTCAAACGCATCCATTTATGCACGTCACGTAAACTTAGTTTACGCCCAATTAAAAACCAGAACGTCAGCTGCAGCTATATCTTCTGGCTGTTTCATCCCGTCCCTTGTAAGTGAATACACACTGTTGCATAAACGTTCGTCCGCTGTCTCAGTGTATGGGCTGCCTCTGGTGCAGGAGAAATGAGCGTCTGAACCACCCACACGTACCACATGGTTGTAAGTGCGTTGGCGGGGGATGTCGGGTTGCTATAGCAACCCCCTCCGACGAATGTTTTAATCTGCTCGAGAATTCACAGATACGGTTTGGACCACGTATGGGTTCACTGGTTTACAAGACGACATTTTTATATGTACGTGCAATTGGGATACTGTCTATAGGCCGGGCATATATATATATACTTGCAAATGTAGATAGATAAACGCAAAGCCTTCTATATTTACATCGCCATCCGGAGCTAACGATCCTATCTCACAACTGTAATGAGAATGAACGTGACAACATTTATAAGCACACGCATGAGTGTGTACGGGGGCATATGCGCGTGAACAGAGACTACACGTGCAGAACTACATATACAGAACTACATAAACATAAGTATATTTCATGCGGATGGATGGGAAAAAAAGAAAAATGCGCATTCATGCGTGGACCAGATTAAAGACACTGGCTAACAATAGCAACCAATTGAAAGCACGTTAGGCTTAAATATATCATATAGATTGCAGACATGGGTATGTCTTTAAAATATATTCATAAGAGCCGCGCTCATCGTGCGTGTACACAATTCGAGAGAAAAAGTATAGGATCAGACGAATACAAGAACATACTTTTACCATACACGAACAAACACGCATACACACATGACTGTATTCTCGTACACCAATAGTCAACCCTGATGGGTACGAGTATGTAGATGAAACATATATACACATACCTACACTACCGCGCACACAGAACTATGTGCATGTGTAACACCACATGTGCACATACACAAGTTTCAGCTATACACAATATCATTTATCAATCATATACACACCCACTTTCATACACTAAGGACTGTATGCAAGTGCATCCCCATAAGTGAACATACTCGTAGGACTGCTTGAAGAGCTCTTTGTGGCATGCCTCGCACGTCCGTACGGCAAAGGCATATCCATAGGCCCTGACACGTACAGACAGAGTAGTTAAT